GCCTGTATGTGTTTCCTCCTCTGTCTGAGTCCCTCTTCTTCCTATGACCTTGCTGTTGGAATGGCTAAAGTGATGGAGTGCTACTCCATGTCCATATCCAGCAAACATTGAATGTGTTGGACCTGGGTCTCCATGGCAGCTGCAAACCTGTCCATGAAGGCAGCCAGATGCTCATATGCCACAGACAGCATGGTACAAACGGTGTTCATAGAGTCCCTTAACATCTTGAGTCAATTTTCCCAGTCCCTGTGACAAAGCTGCCTGCTTCTCGTCTGTCAGCTTGTAATTCCAATTACATTCACAATTGTTGACACCAGGACATCCTCACCTGCCTGGAGATGTGCAGGTTGTTTTGCCTTTACTGCCCTCTGAGTGCCAATGACCTAGAGTATTTTTTACCTTCACCAGCTGCAGAGAGGGAACAGAAATGTGCCCACCAGCATGTGCTCCTGATTCTAATCTAGCTAACATAGTCAACGAGGTGTCAGTATCTGAGGGTGCAGGAAGTAGTAATGGGTGATGCTTCTTTCTTGGTTGCTGGAACATGGAGATTTCAGCATTACCACATGGACAATCATAGTTCTCATTGGCCAAGTCCAGGATCCTTTCCTTGAAGGGGGGAAAGATCTGAATGTTGGGCACCCTACCATCTGTCTTGGCTTTCCGTACCCTATTTTGGGCTGATTTCTCCTGAAGTGAAACAAGGGAAGGATTGAGTGAGATGAAGGTGGCTGGATCAGCTATTAGTGCTAGTGCAGGTGGGGGAACAGTGGTAAGGTGTCCTGGGTAAGTCAGTAGAAAGTGCAGACGCTATAGGTTTAGTAAGGTGGGATGTTTGAGTGCATGAGGGAAAAAGATAGACAATGTTGCATGTGATAGTGAGAGTGGTAAACCATGAACCTTGGTGAGAGGTAGGTGCCACAGCAGAGATAGAGTGAATGTGAGGTAATAGAAAGAATATGCCAGAACTTATTCTCACAGAGCAGAAACATCATTGACCTTCTTACAATATTGCTGAGAATTCCTCAGGGCCATGAATATGAAACTGACTCAGGTAGCAACCTCAGACCAGGCTGGAACTGTCTGGTGTCGTGGCCTCCTCTGCCAGTTGGGTATAAAAGACTGTCCTGTTCTGCACCACCCCATCCAGCAGAGCCTCCAGATTCCTATAGGCAATTTCCCTGCGTCTGTATCAATGATGAACCATGCAGGGTATCTCAAACTTCCTGCACTTGACTGGGTGGGCAACTGTATTTTGAAGTACTGCAAATATTTCTGCTTGCAGTAAGTAGAATGATATGATGAGTGAAGTCCTATAGGGGTGTGGTGAATAGGTAATAAGGTGAATGTGGGAAGATGACATGAGATATCTTGTTAGGTCTCAAGGAGTGAAACCCTTCATGTTACTTGCCAAAGTTGGTGCTTGGAATTCTGGTAACATTCAGCCTGTAGTAACTGAAAAAGTAAACCGTAAATCTTTATATTTATAGTGAAAAAGAGATTATTTTATGTCAATGTACTATTGTAACTCACAATATAGTATTATAGGTTTCTAAATGTTGTCTGTAGATCCCCAGTATCACCAAGATGAGTGCACGTCATTTAGAGTGCCTTCAATGAAATTGAATTGATTAGTTACATTGAACAATCAGAGGCACCATGTTTTTGGATGGCAACTCACCATCAAAGACATTGGCAGGGAATGTCATGCAAACAATATTGGCATTGAACCCTCCACAGAGCATTGAATGGCTAGAGGCAGGGTTCGACTTTTCATTTATCAGTCCCTCTTGAATGCTTTATCAAGTTGATTATGCAACACTTACTGAAAGGATTTATCTCATGAATGAATTGTGTACTTTAAAGATTCAGAGATTCAGCTGTGATATGTATAATATTGTACTTCAATAAATGTGGATGAATTGAACGTAATTGTTTTTGCCAAGAAAAATGACATTTTGGAAGAAATTGTGAAAATGTTTTCATACACACATAACTTTATTTTTATACTTTGATGAAATGTTAGCTTCATTGGCAAGGCCAGTATTTGTTGCCCATCCCTATTTGCACTTGAGAAGGTGCTAGTGATGCAGCATCTTGAACCACTGTGGTCTGTGTCACATATGGTCATGAACAACACTATTAGGGAGGGAGTCTTGCAAAGTTGCGGAGAGTACTTGTGGATTGGGAGGCAGGAAGTCAGACTTTGATATTTGTAAAGTGCTAGGGGTGAAAGCATTACGTGGACCTTTAAAAGATGATGTGCTTTTTCTATGTTTAGAGATTTAAAAACGATGTCCGTGAGCTTAAAAGTTTGCAAGTACACAGAAAGCACCCAAGTTGAAACATTTGTATCAAAAGGCCACATAGTTAGCAGGCCATGCAGCAGTTTTTACCCAGACAGCAGAGTTTCGAATTTAGCTAATCAATTTGAACCAGGCACTTAGTTACCAAAAACCCATTAAATTTAAATCTGATGATGTTGACAACATAGGACCAAAGTTATTGTAAGAAATTGATATGTCATCAAGGGTATAAAAGAAAGGGGCAGTTGGACAAGGACAGCAGAGATAACTGCCATCCACCAGAGCTAGCAGCCCTCAGCTCTCAACAGAGAATCTCTGGCTCTCACAGTCTCCTCTAAATGTTAGAGAAAGCACCACCTAAAGAACAAAGGTACCCATAGCTCAACTGGTGAATATTCCTGACGGAGGAATTAACAGAGAAGGCACAGAACATTCCAGAAGACACATAATCTGGCTGTAATTTCAAGAGACTAATTCTATTTTATTTTATATAAGTGGGAGTTTTATTTATGGGAACATCATACCATTATAATGTTGTGTTATTCCGGAATAGTTAGTAGTTAGAAGGAATTTATTCAGGTTGTTAATAGTTTAGTTAATTTGTTCACTGTTAGAGTTAAATAAATAAATTGTTACTTGTTGATTTTAAAGTCAGTGTCAGGGATTTATTTCATTTGACCACTAGAAGTTGCTGAAATGCAGGTTACACCACTTTTCACACTCCTTTTACAGATTATAGGGTGAGGTGCTCCTCTATAGGGGTTTCGGTTTTAGTTCTCGGGGGGGTGGGGTCAACCTTCGCTTAAAACACGAAGTTCCAGGATGTTAACCACGTGACAGTGGAGGAATCCCACTCAGGATAATGTACTTCTTGTAAGGGAACTTATCCTGCTGGTATTTTCATGCCTTTGTCCTTCTAGGTGGTAGGTGTCATTGACTTGGATGATTCAGTCGAAGAAACGTGTGGGAATTATAGCAGTGTGACTGGCAGATACTGCGTGCTACTGCCACTGTGTATCAGTGGTTGGAGGAGTGGCTGATTAAGATGGTGGATAGGATGCCAAACAACCAGGCTGCACTCTCCTGGTTTCTGTTGAGCTTCTTGAGCATTCCATTATAATCCTTACTTGTGCCTTGAAGATGCACTCTTGTAGCCACAGTATTTATGAGGCTGAACCAGTCATATTTCTAATTAATAGTAAGCTAGTTGATCTCCAAAAGCTGTAGCTATAATTCCGCAGTTGTTTGATGTTGTCTACGGTTGTTTTCAGTTGCAAAAGTCAACAGTGTGTGATGTGGCATTATATTGTCCTCTCTTGATGCAAAGAGCCAATGAATTACCACTGCCCAGATGCAGAATCATTGAAATGATCAGGATGCATGTATAGCAGTCAATTGATAGAAATGAGTCCCTGCAACCCCTCTGCATGGTTCTGTAGATTTTCTGAAGACAAAGAGGTATGAAAGCAATTAATTAGATGCATGAAAGTAAATGCAAACCGAGAAGGATGGAGAAATTTAAGAAATGGAAAAATTAAGCTGTCCAGAATAACTTCTCGGGTGCTTTTAAAGGCAAAGAAGTTACCAAGATGAATCAGTTTGAGAAAGAGCCCGATTGACAGAGACTTACTGATTGATAATGAGCCTCCAAAGGAGCAGCAAGGAACCATAATCAAATGAGTGGAAGGTACAGGCAAAGAAATGCAGATTATTGCTCAGGTAGCATTCAGTGAGGCCTGGAGATCAGTACACACTCTTAAAATCAGAGCACATTTGCAAGTTCATTAACTGAGATAGGGACCCAATGGAATTCAGCAAGAATGTTGGTGGTGGAAGAAAACACTTACTTCTCTAGTTTGTCTGAAGTTTGTATCGGATGGAGGTACTGAAACAGTAAAGAGGACATTTAAAATCCTTCTTTCCAGTGAAGAAAGTTCATAGATGCTTCCACAGCATTTGGGAGAGAACAACTTGTGCAAGCAATAGTCTAAAAATAGAAAATGTAATCTGGATTATAGAGCAAATGTGAAGAAAAACCTCAACACAAAAGTTTCAAATGTGGACCCCATGTTTCCCATCAAATTTAATCCAAAAAATACATTTGTACAGGTACATGTCTTAGGAAAGGTTTAGAGGGATATGGGCTATATGCAGGCAAATGGGACTAGTCCAGTTTAGGGAGCCTGGTCTGCTCTGACTAGGTGGGCTGAAGGGTCTGTTTCCATGCAATATGATTCTATACCTCTATAAGATTTGGAAAGTTGAATGAAATCTAGATCTTAAAATGATGGAACAAAATAGCATTTGATTAAGGGTGTCAGGTTATGCGTGATGCAATTTGACAGTACTTGCATGCTTGGAAAAGGTATGGCTGATGGGAAGTACATAATATTTATTTCGGATTGTCAAGATTTGTAATGAAAATGAAATGAATTCCTTACCTCATTATAATGTTTTTTCTACATTGCTGCTCAGAATTATTTTTCGCCTTTTCAGTAGTAAATATAACCGAGATTTTCGAGCCATTCACTTTGTGAAAATGGGGTTTACTGTATTGAAAAGCGTTGTGCTTCACATCCGTATGCTGGGTGTCAGGCGAGGCACCTTTTCGAAAATCAATGAACACAAACATCTAATTTAGAAAAAATCTGTGGCCTCTTTTCTCTTTCACTGATAATTCTACTGTTTTGACAGACAACAACACTGATTGGTCTTCTGAAGACAGCTCGCCTGCTCCGTCTGGTGAGGGTTGCCCGTAAATTAGATCGATATTCTGAATATGGGGCTGCAGTTCTGATGCTGCTCATGTGCATATTTGCCTTGATTGCACACTGGCTGGCTTGCATTTGGTACGCCATTGGGAATGTGGAGCGACCGTACCTGGTACACAAAATTGGCTGGTTGGATTCTTTAGGACAGCAAATAGAAAAACGATATAATATCAACGATGCTAGCTCTGGACCATCCATCAAGGATAAATATGTGACAGCACTCTACTTCACTTTCAGCAGTTTGACAAGTGTTGGTTTTGGGAATGTGTCTCCTAACACCAACTCGGAGAAGATCTTTTCCATTTGCGTCATGCTGATTGGCTGTAAGTGATCTTTACTCTCTGTACTAGTTATAATATTGAACAGTCCGGAAACATGTCAGTTTCTTAAATGTGAATATCTACAGGTGCTTTAGTTCTGTAACTTTGCTGTGTTCTTTCGTAAGATACGTTTTGAACTGCAACTTTCTTTTTCTCTGGGATTGGTATCTGTACGTGTACTCAATAAAGATGCTCCCAATTCAGAATTAAAATACTGCTATTATTTTTTATAGGGGAAAGGTAATAGGAGATGACCTCAAAGATAATAAATCCTTTCAACTGTTATTACACCTCAATGATGTTCTAGTACTTGAAATGGTCCATGTAATGTCAAGTAAATATGCAGAACGTAACCTTCTGATTGTGATCATTTTCTGGAAGTGTTATTGAGGTATATTCAGTTATTAGTCAGTGTTTTATGTTCCTATTCTGGTAGCTCTGTATAAGATAACATAAGAAGAGTACATTTAAAAAGGCTGAGCTAGTTTACCAGAAAGGAGAATTTCTATATCTCAGCCCAATCTATCATTTATTTCTTAATTTTTTTTATGTTTTCAGAATTGTATATCACAATATTTGTCATAAATTTGTGCTTGTTGTAATATATATGTATCTTAGTGCAGACCTTATTTAGTCCACTATGGTGCAACTAGGGTAAAGGCTATGCAGTGATGTTATTGATATGTCAGCTGTAGTATGGCTTCTCAGATCAGCCTGATGCTTTAAATTCCCATGGATCATATAAGCTGTCATTTTTACTAATGCTGGTGTGAACATTTTGGTCTGTAAATGATGCAATGTGCACAAAGCCAGCTTGCATTGGCTGCATAACTATATGTGTGCAAAAATGTTTGTGATACATAATAATCCTATATGGGTGATTGCATTTCCCGTGGTCTGCTGATTTGAAGTGGTGACTAAAACCCAGTTTGTTTGGGTGATTTTACTAAGTTGATATTCAATACATCTTTCTCAGTAAAACTCCCTAGATACACTAAGGGGATAAATTAAGCCAGTCAAAATGCCTCCTGTGATGATAAGAATATAATGTAAATGATCTTGTAGTAGAGAGCAGTGGCCCTCAGAAGGTTAAACTTTGAATGTAAAACGTCTTTAGGTCAAACTAATCAATTGGATGATGCTACCTAACATGCAGGGCACAGGAAATAGAAATAAATTAAAACTGTCAAGCTTGACTGAAGATTATGATTGATTTAACTATGTTAATGGAAAATCGTCTGCTGAATGGAATTCCATATTTTGAGATATGCTAAGATTAGTGTTGCTATTATATCTGTCATTATTCTAGTCTTTGGGTTTTACAGAAAAAATGTTCAAGATTAATACATTGATTTGACTCAGTGACCACCTTTAAATGTTTGCTGCTGGGTCTTAAACTCATTTCATATTGCCTACTTATATCTTCATTATATTACATTAAATTACAAGATATTTGTATTGCATTTATGCTTAAAGTAGAATGAATGTTACCCAACATCTCAGTGCTGATCATGTTTACTCTGCTGTGGGGCATCTATTGTGGTTTCCTGGCAGAGGATAACAGCACGGGCACCCGTATATAAAAGTACTGCATCTCAAATCCCGAGACAAGTGATTCCCAAGACAGCTGGTTAAAGCTGCTTTAAAGCATATTAGAATCATCCAAGTTGACAGCAAGTCTTGAGAGGCTGACAACAACACTCAGCTTCTTGTCAAGAATCCAAGCCTTCCTCTTTTACAGACAGTCTGTTACCTTCCCAAAATGATACGACAAAAAAATCATAATTTAAACTATATATGCAGCACATATATGAACAAATGAGTTAGGAGTCATTATTAGCGTAATTGCCTCTCTCTGATTGTTCTGCCTGCTCTAGTGATAATGGGGAGTTGGTTAATTTAGTTGGCTGGACAGCCAATTTGCAATACAGACTAACACCAAAAGTATGGGTTCAATTCCTGCAGCAGCTGAGGTTCTTTCTCAACCTCTCCAGACCATGGTCCTATGATGATTATATTTATAGGTATTTCCACGATGAAAGAAAATGCAAAAAGATTGTGGCCTTTAATTTTGCATGATTCAATTCTATTTACAACATTTTAAAATCTATCATCTAGAAAATGATCTGGCATATATAATATACCTAAGGATAGTTATGGTTTAAGGTATTCCAGAGTAATTTTGAAATTAATCTATTTATCAAAATAGAATTTATCAAAAGAAAACTTGACTAAATGTAAATGATGCCTCGCTTATCTGATTGAATCATGTTTTTTTCTTCTTGATCAGCATTAATGTATGCCAGTATCTTTGGTAATGTCTCAGCAATTATCCAGAGACTATATTCTGGAACAGCAAGATATCACATGCAAATGCTTCGAGTCAAGGAGTTCATACGTTTTCATCAGATTCCAAATCCTCTCCGTCAGAGACTGGAGGAATACTTCCAACATGCCTGGACATATACAAATGGCATAGACATGAACATGGTACGTGCAACTGATCTGTTCATTACTGAAATTGTTTTTGAGCAGACAGAAGTGTGGTTAACAAACCTGTAAGTAGGAGAACAGAGACACTGAAAGTAGTTGACTACATGTCAATATACTGTCAAAAATGTTAGAAGATATACGGAACACAGCTATTGCTACTAATTATTTAGCCTGGCACAGTTGATAAATTAGAAATCTACAACTGAGATTAAATTGAGTGAAAACATTTTTTTAAATTGTGATTTTATTTCAAAGGAAATATATACATGGAAATTATGATTAGTAATACTCTAACAGAATTCTGATTTTTTTAAGCCAATAGTCAATACCAGTTTCTTATTGGCTAAATACTAATGAACCTCAGGCTGTATTCAATATGCACATTTTCCTGAACTGCTTTGCAAAGTAGCTTTGGGTGATCTAATCAAAAACCTGCCAGTACTGTAAGGTGCAAACGATGGCTTCCTGACGAAATCTGACATACATGTACAACAATATCAACACAAGTGGTATTTGAAGATGCAATGAAGCAGTGACATGTGTGATTGTCATTGGACTAATAATACAGAACTCCAGGCCAATGTTCTGGGTACATAGGATTGAGTCCCACTGAGTCAATTGATGAAATTTGAATTCAATAAAAAATTCTGGAGTTAAAAAAACTTATTGGTGACCATAAATGCATTTTCAATTGGCATTAAAAAAAAACATTGAGTTCAATCAAAACCAAAAGAACTGCGGATGCTGTAAATCAGGAACAAAAACAAAGTTGCTGGAAAAGCTCAGCAGGTCTGGCAGCATCTGTGAAGGAGAAAACAGAGTTAACGTTTCAGGTCCGGTGACCCTTCCTCAGAACTGATATGGCTGGGAAAACGTCAGTTTATATGCAGAAAATAGGGAGGCGGGTGAGGTAGGGAATAAACGATAGGATAGAGCCCAAAGAGAGAGAAAGACAAAGGAGTTGCTAACGATCAGACTGGGGGAGTGAATAGTTGTTAATGGGGCTGTTGTAGTCTGGCGTACTGACCTCTACCTTGCAGAGGCTGAGCGCTAGCTCTCAGATACCTCCTCCCACCTTCCCCTGGACCATGACCCCACCATGGCATATCACGCCATTGTATCTACTACTGCCATTGTATCCACTACTGTTACGGATCTCATTTCATCCGGTGATTTCCCCCCCTCTGCTTCCAAGCTAATAGTCCCCCAACCCCGCACAGCTCGTTTCTACCTCCTGCCAAAAATCCACAAACAGGACTGTCTGAGCAGACCCATTGTTTCAGCCTGCTCCTGCCCCACAGAACTCATCTCTTCCTACCTTGACTCAGTCTTCTCCCCCAGTCCAATCCCGACCCACATACATCCATGATTCATCTGATGCCTTACGCCGGTTTCAAAACTTCCAACTTACTGGCTCCAGCCACCTCCTCTTTACCATGGATGTTCAAGCCCTTTACGAATCCATTCCCCACCAGGACGGTCTTAGGGCTCTCGAGGCTTCTTCCTGGAGCAAAGACCTGAACCATCCCCACCCACCACTACCCTCCTCCGCTTGGCCGAGCTTGTCCTCACCCTCAACAACTTCTCTTTCAACTCCTCTCATTTTCTTCAGGTAAGAGGGGTTGCCATGGGTACCCGCATGGGCCCTAGTTATGCCTGTCTCTTCGTGGGGTACGTGGAACATTCCTTGTTCCAGTCCTATTCCGGCCCCCACCTACAACTCTTTCTCTGATACATCAATGATATTATCGGTGCTGCTTCCATCTCTCGTCTGGAATTGGAAAACTTCATCAATTTCACCTCCAATTTCCACTCTGCCCTCACTTTCACTGGGCCTATCTCTGACTCCTCCCTTCCCTTCCTCAACATTTCTGTTTCCATTTCTGGGGATAGACTGGCCACTAATATCCATTACAAACCCACCGACTCCCACAGCTGCCTGGACTATACATCCACTCACCCCACTTCCTGTAAAGACTCCATCCCATTCTCTCAGTTCCTCCATCTCCGTCGCATATGTTCAGATGAGGCCAATTCTGACAAGGGAGCCTCCGAAATGTCCACCTTCTTACTCAACCGAGGATTCCCCAGCTCCATTGTCAACAGGGATCTCAATCAGGTCTGACCCATCTCTTGCACTTCCGCCCTCACCCTTCTCTTCCCTCCCACAACAGTGATAGGGTTCCCCTTATCCTCACCTACCATCCCACCAGCATCCACATCCAGAAGATCATCAGACGCCATTTCTGCCACCTCCAGCAAGATGCCACCACCAGACACATATTCCCTTCCCCTCCCTTGGCCACCTTCTGCAGGGACCATTCCCTCCGGAACACCCTGGTCCACACTTCCTTCACCCCCAACACTTCCCCACAGCCCTACGGCACCTTCCCCTGTAACCGGCAAAGGTGCAACACCTGACCATTTACCTCCTCCCTCTCCAGTATCCAAGGGCCCAAACATACCTTCCAGGTGAAGCAACACTTCACCCGCACTTCCCAGAATGTAGTCTGCTGCATTCGCTGCTCACAATGTGGTCTCCACGACATTAGGGAAACGAAGCATAGACTTGGCGACCGTTTCACAGAACATCTACGTTCTGCTCGCAAAAAAGACCCTGAACTACCTGTTGCCTGCCAATTCAATGCACCACCCTGCTCCCTGGCCAACATCTCTATTTGCAGCTTGCTACAGTGTTCCAGTGAAGCCCAGTGCAAGCTGGAGGAACAACACCTCGTTTTCCACTTGGAGACCCTACAGCCTCCGGACTCAATATTGAGTTCAATAATTTTAGGGCCTAAACTCTCCCATGTCCCAGCACGCCCCCCCCCCCCCCCCC